GGTGTGAATGGCCATTTGGCTTAAGTTATTTACCTGGACATTTTTGATTCACTCTTAAAAAATCATTGTGAAGACTCATCGAAACTATGAGCGTCGTTATCGTTCTGACAATCAAGTGAACAAGTTCCAAATTTGTTCAATCAATATTGCTAATTAGTGAAGGAACTACTTGTACGGTCAAATCTGCAGTATCTGAAAATGACTGACTTTTCTCATAGTGTAGTTCAAATTTTTATTCATCACAACCAAGTTATTTTCCAAGTGTGAATAGTTAATCATTTGGTTTCACTTAATTAGCTGGGCATTTTTGAATAGCTTTCACTGTAAAAACTTCAAAACTTTGAGCCTCATTATCACTCTCGCATCAAGTTAACAAGTTTCATAACGAATTCAACCAATTGATTGCTAACTAGTAGAGTAAAAAATTAAAAACGACAGGGGCGGATTTAGGGAGAGTCCTCCCTTTGTACTATTTTCCAATATCCATTTTTGGTGATGGACCCTAAAGTTTTTTTAAAGGCGCCTTAGGCGCCAATATATACTAATTTTGATGGGGAGCAAAAAAAGACCAATCTTTGGCGAAAATATGGATAAATCACGGCTTTGGGAGAGCTCCAAAAATCAATTTGATCGATCTAAAAAAAGGTCAACAAAAATTTCGAAAATAGATTCTACACTACATACAAAAACGAAGCTACATACTGAGTTATGACCTATTGGTTATACTCATAGAGTATTTTCAGATAAGGTACACCGTCTGCTCGTCACGCTATCTTATTTTCGGCCGGATAGATTCGTGCAACTTCTTAGTCTAATACCGATCTTAATCTTACTCTTAATTTCCTAATCTAAATAGATCTAGTGTATACTGGTTTATGCGAGTTAGTTCTTGGAGTTTATCCAGAAGGAGAACAACTGTATTCAAAGTTTATTCAAATTATTCTGGTACTGAAACTAAAAGTAGTTTCAGAACTTACAAATAAGTGTGAATGTTAGAGATGGAAAATGATAGGTTAGTTAGTAATATTTTATAGTGATAATTAATCAATAAAATAATTGGTTTATAAATACTAGTTTAGAACTGGTTCCACCCATCCGGGGTTTAGAGAGTTTTTAGTTTTTAATTGTTTAATATTGTGAAGGACCGGTGATGTAGTTTTTTTTAGAAGTTGCGAGCGTTGACTTCTTGGAGAGAAGATAAGTGTGGTTGTTTGTGATTGACGGAGGAAGATTGTTTCGTTCGTGTTTCAAGATGGGTATCGTTGATCGTGGTGGTCTTGGTTGATTGTGTCAAAACTTCTGATCGATGCAATGACGAATCGAACTTCTAAGTTTAGAGCGAGACTACGTGCAGGGTGTAGTTTGACTTTTCCGTGTGAAGTGCCAAGTGACTAGGATCGGTACGTGTAGTCAACATCGAGATGGCCATTGGTCTGGTTCAATTGATTTCCTTTGCTGCGACGGTGAGTCCATACTTAAAATCATTTGAGGGTAGTGACTTTTGGCAGCAAATTGAATAGATTTGCCATTCCAGAGTTGGAATATAGTTGGGTTGTCATCTTCTTTGCTGCTCATTGCTTGGTCTATAAGAAATCTCACATACTGCATTTATGGTTTACATACATAATTACTTCTT